ACCGCCACAATATTCAGATCAAGTTCTAATTTTACACGGATGTAGGTGACTCTATGTCCAATATTATTTTGTATATTTTGAAAGCGATAAACTCAGCAGAGTTTAAAAAGGTGGAGAGACTACAACTCTCTTTGATTATTTCATCATAAGAGAAAATTAAACACTTAACAAAGTTTTTGTTATGACTACTACAAAACCTTGACTTACATAAGCCCCGCCGTAAAAAAATTCAAAACAACCCGCCTCCTCCATCACGACCCAATTTTATGAAATTGAATTGGGGCCCTTCCCCCCCCCCTCATAATGCAAAATCCATCTCAAAAAAATATTCTCAAATTTTAACTACACACCCATCAATGGTGGGTACTTCAGCTAGTGTGAACTATATTTTAAGTGATGTTTGATATTTCATAATTTAAATTAAAGGTTGTCCTAAAGTTTCCTTCAACCATAGCCCTCTTATCACTGTCGAACAAATCCAATACTTAGGACTCTACCTTGACAAATGATTAACTTGGAACCTCCATACCAGACTGAAACGACAAGAAACGTTTTCGACTACTGCAGCACTTACTAGAAAAACGATCTAAGCTTTCAATCAATTATAAACGACTCATATACATGACAATAATAAGACCTATTTGGACTTACGGAATTGAGCTTTGGGGCTCCACTAAACCATCGAATTCCTCTCGTATCCAATCCTTACAATCCAAAATCCTTCGTAAGATCCTCAACGCTCCTTACTTTGTCACAAATAAAATCATCCATAAAGACCTTAATGTTCCTTATGTTTCCGATTTAGCTCAATCCAGATAACTGTCCTTCCATAACAAACTGTAGAACCATCCGAATCCTCTCGTTTCAAACCTTGTTTCTTCCTCGATCCCTTATAACCCTCCGAGGCATCTGAAAAGAAGATGGTCTCGGAACCTTCTAATATAGAACTAGAACTTTAATTTGAGTTCTACCAATGAGTGGTTTCTCTTCATGTTATACATGTCATGTTACCAATGTCACATTTACTTGTTGTATTTTCCATGTAATACGGTTGTAAATTTCCATAAAAAAAAAAATAAAAAAAATTAACACTAAACATACCATAACGGGTCAAATGACCCATTTTGAACTTTTCCATTGAAAATGCACGTATAATTTTATTGCGTTTGCACATTAGACTTTATGACTTTTTCTAAGTAATTAATGTACAGTTATAAAAATATTTTTGTTTTGTTTATTCTGAGTAATCCTTGTTGTATACCGATATCTACCACAACAGGTCATTTGACCCGGAGAGAATTTTTTTGTTTTATGAGATTATCTAGTCATATTTGTAGTCAGTAAGTTGCACATTCTTCCAAAGACTATTGCGTAAAGTAGTTCAACGAAAATAGCTCAGAATAATTTCAAGAAAATATCAAATTTTAGATTGAAAATAGCTTTTTAGTGTAAGAAAAAGTGGCAAAAATTGAAAGTCTTGGTAAGTACCTAGCTTATATTTTATTTTGATAGCTATAGTAATACAGCTCATTTTTTACCCAGAAAAATGTCGAAGCAAACAAGACAGTACAAGTTCTTAGAAGATATAAATAATATTGGCGAAGAGTTTTCAGAAATTAGTGAAGATGAATTTTCTGAAAATGAAGATATATCGGTTGCAAATAAAAATGAGTTTGATTCTACAGATACTGACGATGAAGAGGAAAATATAGTAAATAATGTATGTAGTGGCCGAAAAAGAATAAGATTACTCACAAGTTCGGAAGAAAGTGAATTAGAAATAAATGAAGAAAATGTTGCGAATGATGGATCTGTTTGGCGACAAATGCAAGTAGGTGGCAATTAAAAGTTTCTATTTTTTGCTTTTGTAATAGAAATGCTCAACATACTATTTTGTTTAATCATAATAAATTTAATTTATATTTTTATTTCCTTCCTAACATCCATATTTCATAAATTCAAGCATGAAACATAAAGTCGGGTCATTTGACCCGCTATAGTAGAAATAGGTATATGTTAAGTCTTGGTATGATAAGTGTTAAAGATCATATGATAACCATTGAAAATACGATTGCAAAATTTTTTTTTCTGTGAAAACATTTTATAAATCCTTAGTTTGTTTTGACTTTATTTTGAACGCCACAGTTTGGTGAAAAAGTTCCACCGCTAACAATGACTTACACCGTCGTATTCTGATATCATGCCAGGTGTAATAGACAGTTTAAGACCAAACGAGGTTAGTGGCAACGCATGAGAGGAAGAAAAAAGTCAATAGCAGCTATAGGCAAAAAAACGCTGCAAATTATTTCACAATGGTTTATTATTTCCTAACAATTATACATCCTAAGTAACATTACTATCCTAGTTACAAAGGATAAAAAATAAAAGGTGCTTCCAATTGCTGGAATAAACTTTTTTTTTTTAATAATTAGTAACATGCTAAAAAAATTATCATTACTTAAGTAACACATTCAAAAATCAAAAACCAAAACAAAGGATATATCCTTTGCAGTAGAACATATAACAGATATCTAGAGAACATATCTTTGCTCCTAATTGTCCGATTTAAACGATTTTTTTTTTTTTTTGGAAATTTAAATATCTTTGAAACATCTTATCACAACATCTACAAAAAAGTTTATACTTTTTGAGTTATTCGGAATCCAATTTTATCACCCCTCCTTACTTTTATTCCAACTTCTTTTCGTTGAAGTATGTTATGTAGATAAATTTAAAGGGCATCAAGAAAACGAGTTTAGCGAAGTTTCATTGAAATCGGCGCTACAGCCTATAGCAAAGCAGGTTTTTCGATCGCCACCATGAAAGTAAAAGGCGGTTAGAAATGTCAACGAAGAAGGATCATCCTCGGGTGACCTCTAATTTTAAATACAAATTTGAAAAAAAATCGGTCCAGCAGTTTCGGAGAAAAACGTAAAACCTCAAATTTTGAGAGGAGATTAAGATTTTGAATTTTTCGTTTGATTACAATTGTTCATTATTGAAAATAATATACCAAAAAAGTGAGTGAAGTTAGTATCACTTAAAATAGATTCGAAACCTTAAATAACGTCAAAGAGAAATCAGAAACTACCTAAATGATGTGCAGAACTCGTTAAAGGCCTTCAAAACGTAGGCGGTCCAAATAGCTTTAAACTTAAAACCACAACAAAAAATATCAGAGTACATCCTGAAAATTCAGATATATAAACGAGTAGCTAGTTTAAGATAGATCTGTGCTGGTTTCGTCTAGAGATCTAAATTTTGGCAGATACCGATATTAAAAGGCCGACATATGCTCATAAATAAAATAATTAACAGAGCATCTACACATCGACTTTGTTCTCCTAGAAGAAGAAACCAAAACTCTGCTATTCATCAGCTTTCGTTAGACACGATCTCACGTGATTCACTTCTCACCTATTTACTGGCCAACTTTAAGACAAAAAAAAATCAGATCTACTTTTATCAGATTTTTTCGTCGTTTAAGAACTGAGGACTATATCGGTTACTATAAATGTAAGCCCTGATCTTTGTTTTGATTATTCTCTTCTTACCTTGGCACAGTGTGATCTATTAGCCATGTAATACAAGGAAACGACCGTCTCTCGTAGAAGGAATTATCGACTGGGATGCACTAGCGGATCCAGGATTTAATTGTGGGGGGGGGAGGCTTCAGCCCGAAAGATTTTTTTTCATATAAGTATAAAAATGATTAATTAAAAAAAAAAAAAAAAAGAAATTAACTACCTATACGAAATGATGTTGAAGTGGTTCTTGAAGTCCTATTAAATGTAATTAAACGAACAGGAATACTTTAAGAGATAGTTTTTAGTATTTTTTTCTGTAAAATATGGTTATATTTTACCATTTTGGGGGGGGAGCTTCAGCCCGAAAGCCCCCCCCCGTTGATCTGCCTGTGCTGGGATGCATACAGAGATAAGCTAAACGGAATGCCATTTATTCCAATCTCTCTATAGAACGAATATGAAGTTGAAGAAGCTGTGGATAAATTTACAAGCTGTATTTTCTTCTTCTGTCCCAAGGACCAGCAAAAATTACTGCCTCCCGACTAATCCTCAGTACAGTATCGGAAAGTTCAGACGGTTACACAACGCCCAATTGCATGAACTGTCTCCGATTAATACAATCGATTTGATTATATTTGCTATTATATATGCTCAATATTTGGCATACCGATTGGTAGACCGAAGCGAAGGTGGGAAGATTGCATTAAAGCCGATCTGAAGGGACGGGGTTTGGACGGCGAACGTTAAAAGGTGTAATAATTAGTGATTAGTGGTGTCGGCACCGAACCTTGGAGTTCGCTAAAACTTTTATTATATCTTATATTATTTATTTTTTGATTTAAAAGCAAAGAAAATATTCTTTTCTGTCGGCTACTATGTTTTACAATTAGTGTATTATTTTACTTTTATTTGATTTTTATTTTCATTGGGCTAATAATATTATTACTTATTAATATATTATCATTAATTTCTTACCAATTTAATTTATAACGATCACAATGTACTTTATAACTTTCATTAGAACCATGTAATATTTCATTAATTTAATTGCATGAATTATGCTTTATAAATATAGGATTTACGAACTAACATAATCCTCTTACAATGTTACTGTATAAGATATAACATAAACAAATTAAATAATTTTTAAATAATGTTGTATGATACTGCCAAACCAGATTTTTAAAAGACGTTGTTTTATTTAAGATTGTTTGAAAATGGCTAATACAATGTGATACGTTTTCTCGCCGGTACCAAATTAAAGTAACGAGTATCCTCACTAAAATTAATGATCAAAATAGCATAATATTAATATCCTTACCGGTAAGTTTAATATTTGATATTAATTTGTATTTTAGAAGTAATGTTGGAGAAAAGTTGACTTATATCTTTATCGGAGGCATTTCACGGGCCATTAAAAGTTGTGAATACTTATTGTTTCGAGTCGTAAAGGGATTAATGTATATTTTCAATGTCAGCTGCTGTAGCACGAACAATCTTCAGTCAAGATGCAGTCCTCCATCTACACCATCATCTTCTTCTGTCTTATCTACACCTGCCAATGTCAGGACGAGGCCGACTGGACGAAAAGATATGAGGATCGCCAACGTCCAAAAGGTTACCGGAATCAACGATACGAGGAACATCCGACCGTTTCTCCTCCCAGCAGTGATAAATCCAACCCTGACTTTCGGAATGGAAGACCCACGACAGTCCCTATTCCGAAAAGGGAAGAATCCAACCAATATTTCGTGAAGAGATTTTTGGGCCGAGAACGATCTGCGAATTCCGAAAATGGTGAATTCGAAGAGTTGGGGGAAAAAAATCACCATTCTCTGAAAAAGAGCGGATTCCGATCTAACAGGAACGAGGATGAAGAACTATCTACGATTCCTTCTCCCACGAGTGGCCAATCCAAAGCTTGGAGGAAAGGATTTAAATATAGAAAATTTGATGACGAGGATGAAGTGAGTAACAACGGCCCAAACGCTAATAATGATGTTGCGATGAGTAAATTTATAAAAATGATGTTATACAATGTGCATAAATGCACGCCCGAGAACTTGATCGAGTACGAACGTGTCATAAAGGCATTGAAGGATGGCAAAGCTAGCGAGGACCCACTGCTGTCAATGTTTAATAAGAAAGGTAAACTAAACATACCATTCATTGTAATAATTAATAATTAGATGTTGGAATAATTAACACAGTATATTGGTCAGTGAGGAATTGAAAATTATAATATAGAAATGTTAGTGCATTGTATCACATCTTTAGGGCAAATATTAGAAAAAAAATTGGAGTATGACGGTATTGTTCACCAGCTGTATATATATTTTAAAAAGGCTTACGATTCTATTGACCGCCAGAAACTGTATAATATTCTAATCGAGCAGGGGATCCCAAAAAAACTAATAAATCTAGTCAGGATGTGCTTGACGAAGACACTCAATAAAGTTAGAATCGGTAATAATTTGTCCGAAAAATTTGAGGTTCGATCGGGTTTAAAACAGGGGGATTCTCTTTCGCCTGTCCTGTTCAATTTGGCATTAGAACATGCCATTAGGGAGGTAATGCGTACCGAGAAAGGGTTGGATCTGGGCGGGACAACATCCGTGCTGGGCTATGCTGATGATCTGGTACTGTTAAGCGAAGACGTTGAAACTATAAAACTAAATACGACAACGTTAATGAAAGCCGGTAAAGAACAAGGACTCGAAATAAACCTGGATAAAACAAAATATATGGTTAGCTGCAAAAATGGCGATACTACTGATGATATCAATATAGATGGTAATATGTTTGAACAGGTAGAGAAATTTAGGTATCTAGGTTCTACGATAACTAGAAAAAACGAAATTGAAGAAGAGATCAAGGTTAGACTGAAGGCGGGGAATGCTTGTTATTTTTCTGTGACAAAACTACTTAGTTCGCGCCTCTTGTCCCGGAACTTAAAAATTAGAATCTGTAAAACAATTATCTTGCCTACAGTTCTTTATGAATGCGAAACTTGGGCGCTGACATTAAGGGATGAGTATCGTCTTAAGGTTTTTGAAAATAAAGTATTGCGTAGAATATTCGGACCGAAGAAGGATGAGTTAACCGGAGAGTTCAGACGGTTACACAACGCCGAATTGCGTGAGCTGTATCCGGGAAATATAATTGAGGTAATTTCATTGCGGTGAATCAAATGGGCTCGTAAAGTTGTTGGGCTTAGTAACGAGAGAATTCCTAAAAGGTTAATATGTGCGGTGCCGAATGGTAAGCGTCCGAGGGGTAGACCGAAGCGAAGGTGGGAAGATTGCATTAAAGCCGATCTGAAGGGATTGGGTCTGGACGGCGAACAGTGGAGGGAGGTGTGTAATAAGCGATTGGTGGTGTCGCCATCGAACCTTCGGGTTCGCTAAGCCTTTTATTATTATTATTATTATTAGTGCATTGTGATATGAGATAGAAGTTATACTTATCTTTTTCAGTCGAACCACATTAGTTTAGTTATAATAATAAACAAAACATTATTATTATAGCCTTATTTGCTAATAATTGTCAGGTTCCAATGATTTTTTTTTGTAGGAAATTTGTTAACCTGTACCACCATGAAGGGTCTTGGGTTCAGTACTATTTAGAGAAAGCACTGTTTGCAAGTCAATAGTTGTGCAAGGGGGTGATCTGACCGAGATCACTCTCAACCGCCAGGATTTCCCATCTAATTAATTATTTAATTAAGGGTAACCACTTTATAGGGGCTGGGTGTGCCCCAGGGGACGCAGGGTCGCCCCACGGCCAATGAAACAGATAAGTAAATTTTCTGCTATGAGCCGTGGTTCGAACCTGGGACTTTTAGCATTGGAAGCTCAGTGCCCTACCACTCAGCTACCCTGCTCGCTAGGAACTTTATTAAACTTACAAATAATCATTCCTATCACAAACAAATTTATGTGGATAAGTAGAGTCATTTTGTAGTTATATTCTTTTGGAAAAAAAAGTTCAAACGTGGACCCTCAGTGATAATTAAAAAGATAAAATACTATTCTTCCATTTTAATGAAAATTCGTGTTATAATTTTTTTCAGGTGCGAAATACAAATCTAAACTCATTTCTTGCTTAAAACAAATATTTAAATATACTGGATATAAAGATATAAAGTAAAAGAAACTTTATTTTCTAATAACTCAAAAATTGGTTAGAGTTTTCAGTCAAAAATCCAAAGTAAAAATATATAAATGATATTTATTTTTGCCGACGTTTCGGTCCCAGATTCAGTCATTCTTCAGGGCTATATGAAACTTGTACCCAAGATCCATGACCTCCGATGGGCCATGGATCGTACTTCAGGACTAGATCGTATTGATGCCCCTTGAAAAACGGTGTTCCCAACATTGACGGAAGTCAATAGCCTTCAATGACTGTTTAGGTAGGAGGTTTTCTTTCCGATAGAGTGGAGGATTGCAGATTTGAGAGTGCTCTACAAGGGAGGGGACAGAGATAGGCAATTCGCTAAATCATACAGACCAATCTACCTCCTCCCTGCGATGAGTAAGGTCCTAGAGCACCTAATTATAACCAGCCTGAAACCAGCACTATACACAGCTAGCCATCCACGGCAATATGAACTCACTAAAGGTAAGGGAACTGACGATGCCTTGCTCCAAATACACCACGATGTTACTTTCGTTTGACATATCATTCGCCTTTGATAGCGTGTGGTGGCCAAATATACTAAAACAGCTACAAAAGTTTGAGGCCCCCAGCAACTTGTGTGCCTTAATGCAGAGTTATCTAGAAGATCGAAAAGTAAGGATATGCGGCAACTTCTATGAAGTCGAAGAAAGAGTGAAAAGGAGATGTCTGCAGGCCTCTGTCCTCGGAGCTGCCTTTTTGGAAATTAGTATTCGATGAATTGCTGAGAGTATTCGAAGAGGAGGGGTTCTCTGTCTGTGTCGAGGACCTGGCCATAGTCCAGTAGACGAGCCGGCTTGAAAGGAGAATAACAAAGGTGCGACAATCTTGTCAGAGAATAGTGCGAAAGGAAAATACAACTAATAGGTAAGACGAATAGGGCTCGCCCTATTGTCATGAATATACAAATGATAAGGAAGTCCCTGTGAGGAAGTAAGATTCAATGTTACTCCTCACTTGGATTACCAGAGAAGTAGGGTGACCCTAGCCCTCAATGGAATAAGTCGTATAGGTAGCGCCTTCTGGGGCCTCGAGTACCCGACAACGATGACTATATATACTATCTATATCTATAGATATTATATCTATATATAATATCTATATCTATACTATCTGTGAGTAGTACTGGGTATCTTGAGGTACGCCTCCTCATTTTGGAAACATAACCTCTCGCAACTACAGAAGAGGAGATTGGCGACAATCCAGAGAACGGCTCTGCTGCGAGAAACAAAATAATACAGGACTGTTGCTCATGAAGCGGTAAAGGTTTTAGCAGGAGCGGTACATCTCGACCTTCTTCTACAAGACAAGTGTAAGTATATTCTCAAGAAAGAAGGCTCAGCCATCTCCAAGATCCATCTAAATAATAATCATAATAATAATAAAAGGCTTAGCGAACCCGAAGGTTCGATGCCGACACCACCAATCGCTTATTACACACCTCCCTCCACCGTTCGCCGTCCAAACCCAGTCCCTTCAGATCGGCTTTAATGCAATCTTCCCACCTTCGCTTCGGTCTACCCCTCGGACGCTTACCATTCGGCACAGCAAATATTAACCTTTTAGGAATTCTCTCGTTACCAAGCCCAACAACTTTACAAGCCCATTTGATTCACCGCGATAAAATTACCTCAATTATATTACCCGGATACAGCTCACGCAAACCGTCTGAACTCTCCGGTTAACTCATCCTTCTTCGGTCCGAATATTCTACGCAATACTTTATTTTCAAAAACCTTAAGACGCTGCTCATCCCTTAATGTAAGCGGCCAAGTTTCGCATCCATAAAGAACTGTAGGCAAGATAATTGTTTTATAGATTCTAATTTTTAAGTTTCGGGACAAGAGGCGCGAACTGAGTAGTTTTGTCACAGAAAAATAACAAGCATTCCCCGCCTTCAGTCTAACTTTAATCTCTTCTTCAATTTCGTTTTTTCTAGTTATCGTAGAACCTAGATACCTAAATTTATCTACCTGTTCAAACATATTACCATCTATATCGATATCACCAGTAGTATCGCCATTTTTGCAGCTAACCATATATTTTGTTTTATCCACGTTTATTTCGAGTCCTAGTTCTTTACCGGCTTTCATTAACGTTGTCGTATTTAGTTTTATAGTTTCAACGTCTTCGCTTAATAGTACCAGATCATCAGCATAGCCCCGCACGGATGTTGTCCCGCCCAGATCCAACCCTTTCTCGGTACGCATAAGATATTTTACGCATAATATATTTTATAATCCATATAAATGGCAAAGAATAATATGGAAGGACACCAGTGAGTAGTGGAACCGACTAGGTAGATAACTACTCAAAAAGGTTCTACCTTGGGGAAATACTTCCCTACCGTCTATTCAAGGTTGGAAGCGAAATGAGTGCTCCCTGATTAATGGGTATCGCAATTCCTGACAGGGCATGGAAGTTTTCGTGCCAAACTTCATGGCTTTGGAAAAGAAATTAACTCCCTTTATGTCTATTGTGGTGTTCTGGAAACTGCTGAGCATATCGTCACGACTCCCACCGCTTCTGAAACAAAAAGGGTCAAACTACTGGGAGAAACCGGACTCTACTTTATCACGGAGGATGATTTCTTTCCCACAGGTAGTAAATCAACTGCCCGTACTAGGAAGCATTCGTGTACGGGTGGAAGAAAGTAATCGGGGATGATAAATTCAAACTCAGCTAACGAAGACCGAAGAACCAGAAGATAACTGGTAAAAGTAGAAGAAGAAAATGAAATAAATAAGGTGATATTCCCTTTACATCGATTTGCCTACAGACAGACACAGACAGACGAAGAACCAAATTTGATCCTTGATATCTGAACGTAAAACGCGAGTGAAAATTTTCGATTCTGAACACATAATTTTTTTTAACCTCTCGCACGAATACAAAGATTCTCTACCCTCGGTAGTGAGGTAGAAAAATAAATGGGAAACAATAATCTATTATATAAATATATATATATATATATATATATATATATATATATAGATAGATAGATAGAAAAATAATTTTATTCTGGGACACAGTTCCTTGAGAATAACAAAATTAAAAGATCACATCTGGCCAAAATAAAATCAATCGAAAAAAAGAAATAATGTAAAAAAATATATAAGGTAAACATTCTATATACAAAAAACGAAACTATATACAAAACAATTAATACTATGACAAGGCACTTAAAGCTATTTGCACTGATAGACTCTTATACACTTTTGAGAAAATAATAAAGAATTAAAATTAAAAATGTATCAATGAATCAATCAATAAATTTGTATGTATCAAATTCTCTATTAAAATCAGCTCGAATGGCTAGCAACTATCTCACTGTTCTTGGGATAGGAATTGGAATAGGAGTGTTTTGAATTTGGATATGTATGGGGAATGTCGAATTTTGATAGGGAGGGAATTCCAGAAATTGACAGAGCGAACAATAAAGGAATTTTGGAATGAGGCAGATCTGCGAGAAGGCATGTAAAGGTTAGAAGGTCGAGATCTTGTGGACAGGGAACGGACTGAGGATTTGAACTGGAGAAGGTTGTAGGCGTAAGAAGGACGATGGCTGTTGATGATTTGGTAGAGGAACGTACCTAGGAAATATTGTCTTCGGAAGGAGGGGAAAAGCCACTTTAACTCGGCGTAGTGGTGAGAAACATGGGAGTATCTTGGGGCCCCGATCACAAATCTTACGCAGCTGTTCATTAGTCTTTTCAGTCTATCACGGAGCTCCACAGAGAGGCCATCATACACCACACAGCTATAGTCAAAGTGGGGGAAAATGAGAGAGGAGACTAGGAATCTACGCGTATGTTGAGGTAGGAGATGGCGGAAGCGATGGAATAGTTTGAGGGTGGAAATTGTCCGTCGAGAGATATGAGAAATATGGTGATTCCAAAAGAGGTTTTGATCAATTAAAAATCCTAAATTTTTAACAGAGGAGTAGAAGGAGATTGGCTGGTCATTAAGGTGAAGGATGGGAAAGTCTGGATGATGGGATCTAAGAAGGGGCTTGGAAGCAATGACAATGGCTTGAGTTTTGGCGGCATTTAACCTTAATCCATTTACATTTGCCCAGGCACTGATTGAACATACACATATATATATATATATATATATATATATATATATATATATATATATATATATATATATATATATATATATATATATATATACACATATATATGTTAACGAAATGAATAGGAAAAAATTAAATATATTCTTATTTGTTAGTTGACAACAGCTGGCAGGCTTATCAACTATCTAACTGAGTTTAATAAATTATTATGTAATAAGTTATTATATTAAGTTATTTATTAAGTTATTATTCAATAATTTATTATATACGCATAACTCGAAGAGGCGCATCATACTCAGATTAAAACATCATCAAATTTCCTAAAGGTTTCATATACGACCATGATACGACCAGGTGAACAGCTGATAAAGTTCATGAAATCGGGAGTGTATTTCATTCGAAACTTGTTAACTCAACTTTGTTTTCTATAATTTTTTTATTAAGCTCCAATTAACAGTACTAGAAATTATAAATATTTATTTATTTTATTATATTTCATGGTGCAGTGTACAACTAGATAGACTATAAGCACCGAGAGATATTTACATAATTTAAATCAATTTACAAAAATTGTTTTTAAAGGAAGGAGATGGTCAGTCATGGCGGTCATAAATAGGCTAAATAGTGGCAAAACTATTTTATTAAAAGCCAACGTTTCGACCCGACTTTGCAAGTCTTCTTCAGGGCTAGAACGGACAATATACAAACAAATATAGAAAATCGTGGAAGTTACATAATATTAAGACAAAAAATTATAAACAATGTGAATAAGCTTATTAAAATTATAAACAGTAAGTACATTAAAACATAAACAGAGTAAGCTAAGTAGCAAGAACATAAACTGAAGTAAATATATATTAACAATTATTGTAGTGTAATATATAATTTATCTCGGTTTAGGATCTTGCTGTTTTGCTTACTCTGTTTATATTTTACTTACTGTTTATAATTCTAATAAGCTTATTCACATTGTTTATAATTTTTTTTCTTAATATTATGTAACTTCCACGATTTTCTATATCTTTTTGTATCTTGTCCGTTCTAGCCCTGAAGAAGACCTGCAAAGTCGGGTCGAAAGGTTGACTTTTAATAAAATAGTTTTGCCATTATTTAACCTATTTATGACCGCCACCCCGGACCCTCAGCAGTTTGGCCCTCATTGCTTCAAAATCAGTGCAAGTCGTGACGATATGCATCACGGCAGGGCCATAGAGAATTAATTTCTTTTCGAAAGCAATGTTGTTTGGAAATCCCAATGTCCTGTCAGAAATCGCGAAACCCAATAAACGTGGTTTTAGAAGAGAATTGAATCAACGTAGAGCCTTTATGAGTAAATTCCACTGATCATTGGTGTATTCCCGTATTATTCTTTGACATTTAGATGGATCTTCCTCAATCCTTTCTTGGAGATGGACATCGAACCTTCAGATTCGCTAAGCTTTATTATTATTATTATTTTTTCACTAATGAGGTTTATGAATAAGTAAATGGCATAGAGCTCGGATGAGAATATAGATCGAACGAAGACTTAACCGAAGCGAGCAGCATTACTGAACAGCCTACGTCAGTTGTTTTGGCCCAGCTGTTTAAATAAAAGATTTGCTTAATTAGAATGTATTAACAACAATACATGGATATATTTACATAATGCATTAACAAATTGACATAACATTAACATGTTGTGTGTGTAGATTCCAGGAGGAGAAGCGGAAGAAAGCATGCAATGGCGATGTTGAAGCTCCAACGGACTGGATTGGACCCTTTTAGTAAAATGTTGATAAATGGACCAGGTAAAGTAAAAAAACCAAAAAACAATTACAATAATTAACAATACATATATCCCAGCGGGAACTCTCACATTATATAGCTAATGTCGACGTATAATCGGCTTCAGCAGAATATGTTTATCTCTATATAACTCCTCCTTTATCTCTCCCTCCCCTCCAACTTCCTAGAGGAACGTTCTTTCATCAACCCATTCCAATCTGGCTTTCAACCTGGCTACAGAACGCAATCAGCTATCCTTAAAATAACCCATGACTTCCAAAACTCCACCAAAACTTTACTATCCTCATCCTTCTAGAAGCGTTTGATATAGTTGATCACAACATCCTCCTTACTAAATTGCACAATATCCCTCTCTATCCAACAGTACTCTGCATTGGTTCAAATACTTCCTTTCAATCGGCCCCAGTATGTAGTATCGGCCCCAGGACAACCTCCATCTAAGACACTTCCTCTCTCCTGTGGTGTCCTTAGAGTTCCTCTCTATCTCCAACTATGTGCTATTTACACTAATGACCTTTCCCTCCTGATCCATCAATCCATATACCATATCTATCCAAATAGACTTGTCCTCCGACCTATTATCAGCCACAGAAAAACTTCAAGAAGACTTGGATAGGATTTGTGACTGGGCGAGAGCTAAAACATTGCAGTTGAATGCGGAAAAGACAAAGACAATCTTAATATTCTCCAATCACCTCCTCAAAACTGCTCCTAATATTCCAACTCTGTTCCTACGTGATGATCTCATCAAATTTTACCCCGAAACAAAAAACCTTGGAATAACTTTTGATCAAACTCTTTCCTGGAAAAAAAACATGTATCCAATATTTCCCGCCGTACCATTTCCATCTTAAAACGTCTAAATTATTCCTGTCATCTATTTACCTTTGAAATCCGTAGGCTACTAGTCACTTCCTAAATTTTTCCCTACTTTGACTATTGCTGTACGGTATATGGGGGCGTCTCTGGGGATCTCGAGGCGAAACTGAAACGTTTAATAAATTGCTTTGTACGATTCATCTTCGAGTTCCCAAGGGACGCCTCTGTTTCCCGTCTGTATGCAGATTTGAAGTGGCTTTATCCTTCCTACCGTCGTATTTCCTGGCACCCTTCTTCTTTTAAGTCATCCAATCCCACCGTCCTTCATACATCTCTGAGCTCCTTCAATTCCAATTGTGTTCGTTCCCGATATTCAAATTAATACACAAGGGTCCATCGCTGCTTTCTACAGATCGTTCATTATGAAATCCTCATCCCTTTGGAATTCCATCCCTTCCCACATCCATCAATCCAATACCCTTCCTACATTTAAATCTCGCCTGTTCGATCATTTCTTATACAATCTGTCCCTATAAAATTGTAAATTTGTTTATAAATGATTAGTCTTTCTTCATTATTTTTATTTCAGGTTTTTTTATTTATTTTTTTTACTATGACTATTTAAATACTCTGTATTTTTGTTTAAGTATCTCTGAGGCTCCCTAGCCCACATTTCTGTCATTCTGTATTTATTCTAAATGGACTCGTCCCAGAATAAATAAAATATTATTATTATTGAAGAGAAGAATAGTTGGGTTCATCAGTCAAATAAGAAGGCAAAAATAAATGATACTTATTTATTTTGATATTAGCCGACGTTTCGACCTGAAGTTCAGGCCATCATCGGGGCTGACTGCGGAGCCATAAATCTAATCATTGCTTAGATTTACGTCTCCGCAGTCAGCCCTGACGATGGCCTGAATTTCAGGTCGAAACGTCGGATAATGTCAAAATAAATAAGTATAATTTATTTTTGCCTTCTTATTTGACTGATCACCTCAACTATTCTTCTCTTCATTATTCACGACAGGCAACCATTTACCAATTAAGGATATTATTATTATTGTATAGAATATAATATTATCAAGAAAGTCCATTCAGAACAGTATTGGTAAATTTTCACACTTTACTGCGGTTGCTAGTTTAACAATTATCTTAATGACTGAATAACTTGTCTCAAATAACTCAAATAAGTCCATTCCGTAACTTTACGAAGTAGGTCGTCTTCAGAGTTAAAAATATACTAACTATATAAAATAAGGCTGTGTTTATTTCTTCACCATATTTATTTCAATTTACATAGCTACGTTTCGGGTGGTAAGCCATCTTCAAGCTATCTATAAGATAAATACCATTAATTATTTTGATGTAATTCAACACTCAATGAAGGTGGTATTGGTACTATTTCATTTAATATTCTATGAATTATAAATCTAATTAGTTTAAGTCAATTTTTTTTTTAATTTGTAATAAACACTACCAGTTAATTTGTAAATTAACTGTACCAATAGATAGAATTAGGTTGTTTTTTTATTCAAATTCAGAAACATCATGGTAAGATCAACACACATAAATTATTTTATAATTGGTAATTGGTTGACTGTCGTGGATAATGAAGAGAAGAATAGTTGGGGTGCTCAGTCAAAAAAGGAAGGCAAAAAATAAATTATAATATTTATTTTTTACATATGCCGACGTTTCGACCTGAACTTCAGTCTGAAGTTTATATTTATCTATTTTATTTTTCTAATTTTTTTTTATTATCTTTTTTACCATCATTACTTATGTTTATCATACCTTGTTATTTTCTCAGCCGTGATGAAGGCCTGAACTTCAGGTCGAAACGTCGGCATATGTAAAAAATAAATATTATCATTTATTTTTGCCTTCCTTTTTGACTGACCACCCCAACTATCCTTACTTTATCCAACCATGCTTTTTGCACCTAGACCAAAGTCAGATTAAATTATAAGTGTGGTTGGGAGGTTGCACATTGTTATATATTTGTTTATACTGCTCACTTATTAAGGGCTATTATTAAAACATTTGATTATTTTTTTTAATTTCTTTATTGAGTATTACAACAATTTGTCTCTTGGACATTGGTTATATTGAGGTAAGATGGCATTCACACTATATGTACAAAAAAAAAATAGAAACAAAATAATAATCAAAAGTATATACAATAGATAATAAAATAAAATATGTTTGATTAATTAAAATTTCAATTTTGTGATTATATGTGCTATTTAGTTCTTTTGTATCTGCTTGGAAATTACAAACTGTGTCTATTTTTTTGGAAATGTAAATGGATTCTAAAACTTTTCTTTTGAAGCTATTTTTTTCACTTATTAGTATTTTAGTGATGTTAAAATCAGAATTGTGTTTTTTTTGGGTGCTTTGTAAAACAAGCACATACGGATTCTAACAATATTTGTTAATTGTTAAATAGTGCCATAAATGATAAATAAAATATTTGTTGATATTGAATTAGTATAAATTATTAGAGAAAGTAATTGTGGAAACGTCAAAATATCATAAGTTATGTGGTACAGTTACAGTTAGAGATGGGCAAAATTGTACTCTGAGTAAAAAGTACAATTACAGAGTAATTTACTCAAATACTCGCCCGGTTCGAGTATCGAGTACTTCAATCACTACTCGACCTCATGATTGACGAGTACAAAAAGTAATCAGCTGGCCTCGTGAGTACTTTCTATTTTCAAATCTACTCAGCAATATTTTACTCTGAGTACTTTTCAAAGTAATCGAGTATTTCATTATAAAAATTACAGGAGTAGAATATTTAATATTTCTTCCATGTTTAAGTCCATTGTTATCTTATGGGGGTATAGTTTTTTAAAATAGTATCGATATTAATGTAAATCGATAAAATAAAGAATTATTAAAATATTTTGGATTTAATCAACTTTGGGGACCATTTTTTTTTTCTTTTTTACACCACTTGACTTTTATGATAATGCTGTCGGATTTGAGACGGTGCCCCCGGGCCCCGACTTTTTTAAGTTTTTGTGTTAAATCGATATCAGGGTCGATTAGTATGTTTTGGGGGGCGCCTTTTATGAAAATGATATCGAATATGGGAATAGGCCCCCCGGGCCCCGACTTTTTGGATTAAATCGATATCAGGGTCGACTATAGGTTTTAGGGGGCGCTTTTTATGAAAATGATATCGAATCTGAGATTGGGCCCCCGGGCCCCGACTTTTTTTAACTTTTTGGATTAAATCGATATCAGGGTCGACTATTATGTTTTGGGGGCGCTTTTTATGAAAATGATATCGAATTTGAGATTGGGCCCCCCGGGCCCGACTTTTTTTAACTTTTTGGATTAAATCGATATCAGGGTCGACTATTATGTTTTAGGGGGGCTTTTTATGAAAATGATATCGAATTTGAGATTGGGCCCCCCGGGCCCCGACTTTTTTTAACTTTTTGGATTAAATCGATATCAGGGTCGACTATTAGGTTTTAGGGGGTGCTTTTTATGAAAATGATATCGAATTTGAGATTGGGCCCCCGGGCCCGACTTTTTTTAACTTTTTGAATTAAATCGATATCAGGGTCGACTATTAGGTTTTAGGGGGTGCTTTTTATGAAAATGATATCGAATTTGAGATTGGGCCCCCGGGCCCCGACTTTTTTTAACTTTTTGGATTAAATCGATATCAGGGTCGACTATTAGGTTTTAGGGGGTGCTTTTTATGAAAATGATATCGAATCTGAGATTGGGCCCCCGGGCCCCGACTTTTTTTAACTTTTTGGATTAAATCGATATCAGGGTCGACTATTAGGTTTTGGGGGTGCTTTTTATGAAAATGATATCGAATTTGGGATTGGGCCCCCGGGCCTCGACTTTTTTTATCTTTTTGGATTAAATCGATATCAGGGTCGACTATTAGGTTTTGGGGGGCGCTTTTTATGAAAATGATATCGAATTTGAGATTGGGCCCCCCGAGCCTGGAATTTTATTAACTTTTTGGATTAAATCGATATCAGGGTCAACTATTATATTTTAGGGGGCGCTTTTTATGAAAATGATATCAGATTACGAATCATTTTCATACATTTTGAGATAGTGCCCCCGGGGCCCGACTTTTTGTAACCTTTCGGATTTAATCGATATCAATGTTGATTATGAGGTTTTGGGGAACACTTTTTATGAAAATGATGTCGGATTTTTTTTTTTTTATAAAATCCGTCCCCTAAAACATAATAGACGGCCCTGATATCGACTAATTCCAAAAAGTGAATCCACTGGGTGCAATCTCAAATCCGACTGTATTTTCATAAAAAGCACCCCCTAAAACCTAATAGTCGACCCTGATATCGATTTAATCCAAAAAGTTAAAAAAAGTCGGGGCCCGGGGGCCCAATCTCAAATTCGATATCATTTTCATAAAAAGCACCCCCTAAAACCTAATAGTCGACCCTGATATCGATTTAATCCAAAAAGTTAAAAAAAGTCGGGGCCCGGGGGGCCCAATCTCAAATTCGATATCATTTTCATAAAAAGCACCCCCTAAAACCTAATAGTCGACCCTGATATCGATTTAATCCAAAAAGTTAAAAAAAGTCGGGGCCCGGGGGGCCCAATCTCAAATTCGATATCATTTTCATAAAAAGCGCCCCCCAGAACATAATAGTCGACCCTGATATCGATTTAATCCAAAAAGTTAAAAAAAGTCGGGGCCGGGGGCCCAATCTCAAATTCGATATCATTTTCATAAAAAGCGCCCCCCAAAACATAATAGTCGACCCTGATATCGATTTAATCCAAAAAGTTAAAAAAAGTCGGGGCCCGGGGGGCCCAATCTCAAATTCGATATCATTTTCATAAAAAGCGCCCCCCAGAACATAATAGTCGACCCTGATATCGATTTAATCCAAAAACTTAAAAAAAGTCGGGGCCCGGGGGCCCATTCTCAAATTCGATAGCATTTTCATAAAAAGCGCCCCCCAAAACATAATAGTCGACCCTGATATCGATTTAACCGGAAAAGTTATGAAAATTCGATGCCCGGGGGCACTATCTAAAATCCGACAATATATTTTTATAAAAAGGGCCCCCCAAGACATGATGGTTAGTCTAATATCGATTAATGGGGGCTCGGGGTTGGTCAGGTCGAATATGGCCGCTATTATTGAAGGAAATAAAAGAAAACATTTTTACTCTTTATAATAATGACGGAGTAGTTGAAAAATAAAAAGTACTCTTTGTAGGAATTGGGCTGAGTACTTTCTGTAATTCGATATAACAGCGCGAGTATTTTCTGTACTTAACTAAATCATGATTGACGCTGCGTGAGTACTCTCAGTACTCGCCGCTGGCAGGCCGAGTACAGAAACTACTCGATACTTTTTCCTAATAAAATTACTCAAATCATGAAAGTAATCGAGTACTGCCCATCTCTAGTTACAGTACGGTTGGAAAGACAATGTATTTTATATATATTCCATTAGAGATTATATGATGCATTCATAAATCTGATGAAAAATAACAAACTGAATTTAAATTGTAAGATTGGAATGCAAATAAAGTTATGATAATTTATGATGTCACAGTTTATGTAAATAACAATTGACTTTCACTTCTATTTGGTAGTATTTGTATATTATTAGGATATCTGGGGTATATTAAGGGTAATAGGTAGAAGGGATATTAAGAATAAAAACCATAATTATTATAATTAATAATTAATTATACATTGTATTTCAAACCATATTGTATTTGCATTACATCACTTATGATATCTTGAGATTACCACAGTTACTTTATCTAATACGTTGCCACTTTTTTAATATCAATAAATATTTTATTTATCATTTATGGTACCCAGTAACAATTAACATATATTTTTTGTATCCTTTTAGCCCAAAAGAGGAACTACATCAATGGTCTAAACGTTGGATAACGCAACAAACATACAATTAGATAATATAGTAATTTATAAATTGACCACACCCCCGAATATCTTCTTCTGAAATTATAATCTACGGTCAACCACCTCCTCAACATTATTATTATAATATATTTACTAACACTACTATCATTTGCAGAAAAAACAATGTTAGACGAAATCGGTTTTCCATTCTGCCTTTTAGACATCCCATCGACCAGAGATGTCATTAAGGCATTTGAAGCGCATGTGGACGATTATGATAACCAAGAAGATTTAATAAATATATAAATACATAATTTAAAATAAATATTCTACTATCTAAGACTGAATCATTTATTTATAATCCTATAAATAATTCTTGTTAAATTATAGAGCATAAATTAAGCCTGTTTTGTAATTAAGTACAAAGTAAAAATGTTATTCTTGTTGCAGCTTTTACTTCGTTTCTTTTTGTTTCATAAAAAAAAATCTGGTGCGGTGTGCGCATCAAACAACTTTCACTTACCAACCTAAGAGTAGATACGTATTTTCATATAAAGGGAAGTCAAAAGTGAAAAGAAAAGTTTAAGTTCATTCAAAACAACTCTTCTTATTTTTCATTTTTTAGGAAGCCTCCATTTATACATTTTTCCAAGGTTAAGGCAAAAATACTACCATTTTTCTTCAGTCCTTTTAATTACATATATTAAATTGTCTCGAAACGTAATATATAATAGCCGTAATCGTAAAAGGATTGAAGAAAAATGGAAGTATTTTTGCCTTAACCTCGGAAAAATGAAATTTAAACGTTTGCATCATTTCCCATTTCTTTTTACGAGTGTAAATAGTAAACATTAATGATAGGGAGGAAAAATGGACCTTTTTGAATAATTTATCGGAATAATATTTATTTATTTATTTTTGACGTATTCTGCCATTTGCACCTGCGCTGCAGCGCACTTAGCAAATTTGATATATTAGGGATAAGTTGTGAGTTTTTTTGGTTAGTTTCATTTAGTATTTATTGTAGTAGGTACCTCGGCCATTTTCTTTTTTATCTGCGTCGATGAGGTAACAGGGAGGTAGAAATAGAAAGGACTAATGGATTGAAGTGATTTAGAATTAAAGAGTCGACTACTGCAGCACTTACTAGACAAACGATCTAAGTTTTCAATCAATTATAAACGACTCGTATATATGACAATAATATCGTTTTGGGTGTGCATGAGGCTTTCCTAAGAGAGTAAGTCACGTGGGGGATTTTGAAGCAAACCAATTTTGAAGAACACAGAGGTGGTTTTGAAGGGCTATTGGTGCGATAGTAGGATTTTTGTGGCAAGAATGAATTGCAGTGTCGTCAGCGACACAATAGATGGCAGTGCTAGGGTGCTCAGGGATATCACAGGTGTATAGCGAATAGAGAATTGGACTTAAGACGCTACCTTGTGGTACGCCAATGTGGGAGAAACAGTAGTCAGGAGAATCTACGGAAACACAGAAAAACCTGACGAGAAAGAAGGATTGAAGAATTAGAAAATAAGTATAAGGTAAGTGCGGTTTTAATTTCCATAATAAGCTCTTGTGCCAGAAATATCAAATACATTCTCGACGTCAATATATATTAGTATAAATTTAATGTTAGTTTTGAAATTTAGAGTGTTACGGTCTTTAATTTAGAAAAATCAACGAAGTTGCCGGATGCTCAACAAAGTTGCCGAATGCTCAGTGGAGACGGCAGGGTTTGCCAAAAAAAAAAATAAATAAATCAAGAGTCACTTAAATTAAGAGTCTAACGAGCGCCACTCGATTTAATTTATTGATTTTGGAAAATAGCGAAAACGATAAAAATAAAATAAACGCTGCAAATGATTTCACAATGGTTTATTATCTCCAAACAATTATACATCTAAAGTAACATTACCTTCCGAGTTACAAAGAAAACAAAACAAAAGGTGATTCCAATTATTGGACTAAACTGTTTTTCTTTAATCATTAGTAATATGCTAAAAAAAAAATAGCATTATTTCAGTAACAAATTTCAAATTTAAAAACCAAACCAAGGATATAACATTTGGAGTAGAACACATAAAAACAAACCAGAGACCATATCTTTGCTCCTAATTGTCCGATTTTAACTATTTTTTTTCGGAGAAAATGCGCGGACGGCGACGGACAAAAAATTTTTTATTTGTTTTTCGAATTCTACGCATCTTGAAACGTGAAACCTCAAATTTTGAGAGGGGGTTATGTTTTTGAATTTTTTGGTCGATCACAATGTTTCATTATTGAAAATAATAAACCAAAATATGTAAAAACCGCGATATCTCTACTAATAGTGCTTTGATTTCGATGAAACTTCCTTAATTTTTTTAGGAAATTTAAATACCTTTGAAACATCTCACAATAACAACAAAAAAGTTAAAACTTTTCGAGTTATTCGGAATTTAATTTTAACATCCCTCGTAACTTTTTTTCCAGCTTCTTTTCGTTGAAGTATGTTATATAGATAAATTTAAAGGGCGTCGAGAAAATGACTTTAGCGAAGTTTCATTGAAATCTGTACATTCGTTTAGGCGCTACAGTCTATAGCAACGCAGGTTTTTCGGCCGCCATTTTGAAAGTTAAAGGCGAAGAGTCGATGAAGGAGGATCATCCTCGGGTGACCTCTGATTTTATATCAAAATTTGAAAAAAAATCGGTCTCGTAGTTTCGGAGAAAATGCGCGGACGGCGGACGGCGTACGGCGTACGGACAAAAAAATGTTTATTCGTTTTTCGAATTCTACGCATCTTGAAACGTGAAACCTCAAATTTTGAGAGGGGGTTATGTTTTTGAATTTTTCGGTAGATCACAATGTTTCATTATTGAAAATAATATACCAATATTAAATAAATTTAATTTAAAAAAAAGATTAGGACACGGATTGAGCTACGAACTCGGAACCTTTGGGTTTAAAAACATATGTTAATTAACCTCATAACCTATCGAACCTTCTTACTTGGTTAATAATGACTTTTCCTAATCCCTCGAATAGGGTTTTACAATTCCTTATTAAACCTTAAAAAAAAACAATATAATATATACATAAAACGTGAAAACAAACTGAAGAAAAATAAGAAAATAAAACTGGCTATTATTAATACTAATGATGAATTTACTTATTTCTATTGATTTAAATAACTGTTAAATGAAATGAAAATTATAAACAAGAAATTAGATTGATAAGAAAACAAAAAAAATACAATTAACTTTAATTGCCAAAGAAAAGAATATAAAATTATTATAGAACTAAACATTAACTTACGAATATACAATAAACCAATTACAAATATTTGGGGGATAATGGATAGAAAAAAAACTTATATGTACATATTTACAATATCCCACTGGTTGAACTCTGTCCAATTGACACATTGGGTTATCTTAAGCAGCGAAAACTTATTCCATCTAGCGTCGTCAATGTCTCTCCAGTTTACCTCCTCAAGTTGTGAAAATGTTCATTCACTAACTTGTAAAATCAAGCGGCACTCGTCGCTGATAATCACAGGTTCTTAGAGTGGAAAAGAAAATCCGGTGTACACCGTAAAACTAAAGTATTTCACAAAACCAAATCCTTAGCGTGCCTCAACACTCGCGAGGTTCCGCCATCTCTCTTTCAACTGTCTTTTGTGTTTCCTCACAATCAGCTGTTGGTTATTCCAATTCGAAATAAAATGAATACTTAAAACTAAGACTTATGATAAACTAATACGTATTATTAAAACTAATACTAAATACTTAATTTTATATTTCATCCTCTTCGAGTTAATAATAAAACTATTAATTATTTTACGAACTAAGTTTTGTTTGTATTTCATTTTTCGTTACAAGAGTATTATCGGAAATAGTTATGACGAAAATCGTCAAAAATATTAGCTGCGGTTACGGTCCCCGGAGTCCAATATTCGTCTCGAGATTGTTTTGAATTTTGTCTATCTTACCAAGTCTCTAAAATGGTAATTTAAAAAAAAATTAAATTGCAGTTGGATAGATGTAAAGATACGAAAGCAAATAATCATTATTTATAATATTATAACAGTCTCAGGAACCGGGGACCGATACGGTACCAGACAGATAAAAAATGATTCCCCTATCACTCCCCGACGTCAGATATATGTCCCCGCCGTGGATTACACATTGCACATTGCACATAATTGCTCTTATCTTCTTCGGGCTTCTGTCGCGCATTAGCTCTAGAGATTTTATCTAAGACTGTTCCCTTTACTTATTTAACGTGTCTCGTGGTCAAAAATTAGATAAGCAAATGAAATAGAAATATACGAATTTCAATTATTATCGAAAGTATTTTTACAAGTATTTTATATATTGCCTTAATACCCAAGGTCCTTCATTAGAAAAAACAGCTATTAGAAATATAACAGCGAATACACAAATCGGCACATATATTATTACAGGTTCGAATTCTGTTTTGTACTAAATACAAACTCCTGTCATGCTCAAATACCATGAATGGGGTACCGTTGAATTCAGAATTTCACGAAGGGTTAGCGAATCGTATTCTCCACATTTGTTTTCTTTTTTCTAAAATAAATAAAGTCGATACAAACATTTTGCTAGGTTTCAATACTGGAACGGTGGTAGGGCTGTAGATCGATACGGGACAAATTGGATCTTGAAGAGTACAGAAAGACTCGGATCCTTCATTCTTAAGCCCAGAAAACGTACTATTTTCGAGATAACGCAAGGCATAGGGTTCGCATCCTCACAACCTTACGTTAATTGTAGTACTGTCATTGAATACATGTCTCATTCCGTCGACTTGAGGCCTCTATGATCGAGAGAGGAGGAGTTTATATTATTTATCGATGGTATTTTGGATCTGCAAGCCATATCGTCGTTAATTCTTCACTGAATTCCAATATTGAGTCACCAATTTGGAAGCATGTAAAATAGTCCAACCGCCCCGAAAATTCAGGCAAACAAGTTATGAAAGAAAAGAATCTTTATTAGCAAATAATTAAAAAGTTACACACTTATTCCCTTGGTTATGCCCATAATTATATAAAATATTACTAAATTGTCTACAAAAGGAAAACAAATCATAGGAATCGGACAAATTTTAGCAAAGATACAGTTTATTGGAATTTATAAACATGTTGGTTCCAAACATTAAGTTTTTTTTTTTTCATATCCCCTTTTTATTTATTTTTCACTTGGATCCTTTTCATTGTTTTCATAGTAGTCCTTTTACTGCTTAAAAGCATTGTAAGGTGTATTTTTGATTTTTCGTCGTTTATGAGTACTTTGTTCTTCATCTGTAATATAAAGGTGATGGGGCTCC